GCCCACGGAGGAAGGCGTCACGCCGCAGCCGGCGCCCACGCCAAGCTAAAAGCCCTCCTCTTCATGCTGCAGCGCGTCTTGCTCCACCCTTCCCTCGTGCCGTTGCACCAGCTCGACACCATCAAGCGGTCGCTGCAAATCCAGCAACGCCTGGTCGCCATCGCCGCCGACGCCGGCCCGGCGGGCGCCATCCCTGTGCTCGGCATCGAGGACATGCTGGCACGGCTCCAGGGTCGGAACGCCGCCGGGGGTTTGACGCGCGACGTGAATCGGACGTGGGCCTTGCACGGCGACGAGCTCGTGGAGGCCCGGGATAAATTGGAGACCTTGTCGTTGCAGCAGCTGCGAGCACGCATGGAGGCGGAGGGCTTGCCTCTGCCCATCGCCTGGGTACAGCTACCGTTGCGGGCGGCAGCGGCGCGGGGCTCACGCTCTTTGAGTGTTCGTGTGCATTACGAGGACGAGGAGCGCGGCAAGGGTGGAGAAGGGGGGGGCGTGGCATCGCCTTCTCAGGGAGACGCTGAGGAGAAGGAGATCATAGGCGCGCGGGACGCGGACGCGGGAAGGGCGGGAGGAGCTGCGAAAGGGAGACAGAACAAGGCGGTGGACGAGCTAGTGGTTCCAGGGGACGTGTTGCGGATCGGCCTGAACGATGAGGATTTCGAAGCACGCGTAGAGGCCGTGGATGTGGCGGCGGGTGGAAGCCGGGGCGAGGTGAGGCTTGAGGGGGCGTGGGCATGTGAAGACCAGCGGAAGGCGCTTGTGTTCAAAAGGGGGCCCGCCACGAGGAAAAAGGCGTACGCGGACTTGCTGCTGGCCAAGGAGAAGGAGCAGAAAGGGATGACGGACCAGCTCCACGAGGCGGGATTTGCCTCCATTTTCGCCGTGCTCGAGGGCGGGGACCTGTCCTGCCCGATTTGCCTCTGTACGGTCAGCGAGCCCACCGTCACGCAGTGCTGCCACGTATACTGTCAGTCTTGCATATTGGCGCAGATAGAAGAAGCGCAGAAACAGCACGAGCTCCATGGAGGCTACGGGGGCCTAGCCAACCTAGGCACTCGCTGCGCTGTTTGTCGGAAGCCAATCTCGCAGAAGAGCTTGATGCGCTTGGAAACGTCCTCCATCGAGCGCTACGAAGCGGCGGCCGAGGAGGTGGACGGGAAGGTAGCCGCAGGGGTAACTCGCGCCGACGCCGTGAGCAATGCGGCAGACGCAGAGAGTGGGCCGGGGGGGGGCGGGAAGGGGAATGCGGGGGAGAGCATGGACGTCAAGATACCGCCAGCATTGCCTCGGAACAGGAGCGGTGATGGTGATGACGCGGCGGACGGAAGGGGCGAGACGAAGGCGGTAGACGCGCACCCAGCGGAGCACGGCGGGCGGGCATCGAGGCAGTGTCGCTCCGCGGCTGCACCATCCCCTTCCTCACCTTCTCGTGGCAGCGCAATCCGCACGGTAATGAACATCCCTCAGGTTGGCTGCCCCCCCGCCGCCGATGAAGCGACGCTGCAGCGTCTGCCCGTTCCATTCGCTTGCGGTCGTGACAACAGCCTGCCGTCCTTGGAACCCGCCTTCCTCGCCCACTACAGGAACACCTCCATGGTACCGAGCGCCAAAATGCGGGCGCTCGTCGGGATCCTTGAATCTACCTTAAGCTCCGACCCGTCGGCCAAGTTTGTGGTCTTCTCCCAGTTCCCTTTCACGACGGTCAAGCCCTGCTTGGATCAGCACGGCTTTGCGTGCGTCTCAGTGACGGCTCAGTGCAAGATGGCGGACCGGCAGCAGGCCGTGGGAGCCTTCTCGAGCGATCCCGACGTCAAGGTGATATTGGTGGGCATGGGGGTGGGCGCGGCGGGGCTGACGCTCACGGCTGCCTCGACCCTGATCCTTTTGGAACCGAGCCACAACCTCGGTGACGAAGCTCAAGCCATGTCGCGGATACACCGCATTGGCCAGGCCGCCTCCAGCGTCGAGATTTTTGTCTTGTTCACGCCCCGGACGGTGGAGGAGCGAATGTTGAAGGTGCGGCAGGACCAGGGGCACGCCTTCATGCAGGGGGGGGATGACTCGGCGGCGCTCAGTGTCACATCGGGCGGGGACAAAGGCTCTCATTTCAGTCTCGCGAGCTTCCAGGCTTTCCTAGGGCTGGGGGAGGCAGTGGATGAGGAGGATTGACTCTTCGGGCCCGGAAAGGGGCATATTCGAAGCGCAGGTGTATATATATGGCGGATGAGTCTTTGTTGGACAGATATATCAAGGGGTGAATTTTGTGGAATTTGTACGTCTAGCTTGATAAGTAAGAGAAAGGTCTCAATCGATATTCAAAAAACAATTTTGTAGAGTTAAAATAATTCTCAAAAGAGGGGTACATTTTAGTTTGCTGGCTTCAATGTATATGATGTGACCTGACTTTACGCAGCGCCTTTCTATTCACACGTTGTCGTAGTCAGAGGCGACCCCTCTCCTACCCTCCACAATCCCAGCTGGAGGTTTTGCTCCTCCCTCCCCGTCCTCAGCCCTGTCCCCTGTCTCAGTTTCGCACACCGCATTCTTATGCTTGTCATGGCCCAACCCGCGGTACTCTCGAAGCTGTAAAAAATCTCCTGCAGGACTTGAGAACTTTGTCAATGCCGTGCTCCCCTCCAAGGGAAGAGTCCCCTTCGCCTTCCCCTCTACACCGCCCTTGTAGCCGCCGGAGACCAGCGAGAAGTAGGGCTCGTCCTCGCCATCGCTTTCACAATTGGCACAGTTACCATTTTTCCTCAAGTCAGTATCTAGACCACGCTCCTTCTGTGCGCAACTTTGGCAGAGGGACTCGAGCTCGCGAAAATCGGTGCTATACGAGCCATCCCACGACTTTCCACCCAAAGCCATCTCCATCTCCAGCGGCGTGACGACAGGCGCGTGGAAAGCTCTGCCGCCGTCCTCCAGGAGTGAGGCCTCGGGACACGCCACCAGGACGAAGGTCTCGATCTCGGCAAAGTTCGCGAGTTTGGCCGCATTGAGTTTCCCTATCAACAGGGTGTAGGCCTTCTTGCCCGCCCGGGCGATGAGACGGCGCACGGCCGCCACCACACTCATATACCTGCCCACGCCCAGAGTCCCAACCACTACCCCGAAGACAGATGCATCCCGTGCGCGTTGTACCAGGTAGTATCGGCGCTTGAGGGCTTGGCTGGTTTTGACCGACACTTCGCGGAGCCGTGGCGGGGCCGGGAGAGGAGGACTGGCTGGGTCATAGACGAGACAGTCGCAGGCATTGAATCGGAGCATGATGTTGACCAATTGCTTGTTGTTCTCGCTTTCTCCTATGTATATCACAACCGCATCCCCTCCTTCCCCCTCCCCCTCTTCTCCATTGTTCTCGACCCTGAGCTCGAGTCCCCCCGCAAAGATTACCTTCCCCGCTTCCTTCTCGCACCCCGTGGCTTGACTCGCCAAGTACTGTCCTTCCTCAGAGAAGGGCATGATGGGGCTTACGGAAGCCAACGGAAGGCGTGCTGCGGTTACGTCTACGTGAGAGCCTACCAGCTGTTTGTTCATCTCGAGTGCCACATCAGGAATGATGGCCTCGTATGCCAGCTCATAAAACAAAAACGCTCGTTTTTCTTTGCTCCGCGCCAAGAGCGTTGTAGAAAGACAGGTAGCTATGGCCTGGAGAGTCTGCGTGAGGGGCTTCCGGCCGAACACGTAGAGGACGGGTAGCCGAGAGGTGGGCGACAGGCAGGCATGGCCGTAGTGTACCACTAGATCCGCATCTAAATGTTGAGCCGCAACCTCATCCACGCAACAACTACCGTATGAAGTGTCACCAATTACAAAAAATAGAGGCTCAGTGTGCTCTGAGACATCGTGTTGTCTCTCCTTTTCCCGCTTTTGACGTATTTTACTTTGGGCCATGAGAAATTGACACACACGCGGCGCGTCTTTTAGCATTTCATCGGGGAACTGCAAAGCCACGCGACAGTAGCCATTACATTCGATGGTGTCTAAAGTCCTATCGCACTCGTACTGGTCTGACAATTTTTCCATGGATCGATCGGTAGCATTGTCAAGCACAGCCATTACCTCCTGCCTTCCCACTTAAAAGCAGCAGAGAGGCAAAAGACTCGGTGCTTGTAGCTTTCGTAAAACCTGGAAGGTTGTTTGAAAGAAGAAACAGGAGTCTGGTGTAGTTGTATACAAGGAAGAAATGTATTAGAGTCCATTATATTGGCCTAGTTCAAAGTCATGAACTTCTATACCCCAGCGAGCACTGAGGTAACCTTTGCGCTCCTCGCTCCGCGCTCGCTGCCTGGTTTAATGGCTGCCGTACATCACATTTATTGTTGCGACTGGAATCATTGATATATTAAATTTTGCACACGATAAATAAAGACAGGGTCTTGCAAGTTGTGCTATAGATTTACTTTGCTGCATTGCTGGCTCCGCGTATGAGCCTGTGACATGCGGCGTGCTCGGCCCCGACCGCCCCACTCTCGTAACCCCGCCTTGTCCCTCCTGCCGCTGCTGCTGCTTTCCCGTAATTTCACAGCATTGATCACGGCTAGTAGAACAAGAGCGAACGGTGGTCCATTACGGCAGCGGCTAGCTGCTTGGGGGTCGCCTTTAAGTCCATCTCCTCCACCAATCCGGTACTCCCGCTCTCTGGGCGCCCTCTCTCGCCCCTCGTGCCTGCTATTCCCACATCGCACTCCATCGGTGGCGGTGGCCATGCGAAAGGGCGCAGATGACAGGGAAGACTGTCATGGCTTGCCTCAGACCGTAGACTTTGGCAGCAAGCCGCTAAGAGACCGTAAAAAGAGGCGCGTGGCCTTGGTAATCGGGTATGTAGGTACAAAGTATTCTGGCTTACAAAAATCCGAACCAGGCCCGGGCGAGGCAGAAGTCATTACCATCGAGTCAGTATTGGAAAAAGCGCTGTTTGATGCGGGCTACATACGGGAAAGCAATTTCGGGGATCTGGATAAGATTGGCTGGGCGCGGTGCTCTCGGACGGACAAGGGCGTGCATGCGGCGCGGAATGTGGTCTCGGCCAAGCTGGAGCTATGGGTAGATGACATGGAAGGCGATAGCCCTAACTGGAGCGAGCGAGCCGTCAAAGAGATAAATGCCTGCCTGCCTGATGACATCCGCGTGCACAGTTGTGCCAAAGCAACCAAGTCGTTCAGACCGCGAGACGCCGTGAGCTTTCGAGAATACGTGTACATCGTCCCTATCGAGCTCCTACGTCCGTTCCCAGGCACCGGTCGAGCCGTCGCAGACGAAAGCTCAGAGGCTTTAATCGCCCGTTTCTGCGACTTGCTCGTGCGGTTCCAGGGCACGCATAATTTCCACAATTTCACCAAAATAAAGAGCCGTGACCTCATCCGGCGCTTGAAAGCCAAGGCTGGCAGCAGTCGAGCCTGGGTCCACAATAATCAGCGAGGTGGAAGGGAGGGGGAGGCCATTGCTGCCGGCGGCGAGGCTTCAACAGGCGAAGATGGGACAGGACGCGCCGGTGAAAAGGGAGGGGAATACGCCCCGGAGGCCGTTGCGGAA